CTGGCAGAGGCTGAGACAGGAGGATCACTGTGAGTCTCAGCTGCGTAGTGAGATTCTGTACCAACAAATGAATAATTTTTTAAAAAAGTATGTACAGGTGCAAATTTCCTTTAATGAATACAACCATTATGTGTATCTTAAAAAACTGAAGTAATTGTGTGTATGTGTGTCTGTGTGTGTGTGTGTGTGTGTGCATGTGCGAGAGGAGGAAGAAGTTAAGATCTGCTTTGTAAATGTACTAACTCCATACATCTCTGTACTAGTTATAAATTTTTAAAAAAATATTAGATGTGGGGCTGGGGAGATAGCTCAGTAGAATAAGCGCTTGCCTGGCAAGTGCAAGGTCCTGAGTTCAATCCCTAGTTCCGTCAAAAAAAAAAAAAAAAAGTAAAAAAAAAAAAAAAAATTAGATGTGAAAAATAATACTAGGGAAGTAAGAAATTCAGACTTTTTTTTAAAAAAAGAATTGAATCCCAGTTTGTGCTAAATGATCCTCAAAAAGCTGGGTGTGGTGGCATGTGCCTACAATCCTAGTACTTTGGAGACTGTAGACAAGAGAATCACAATGAGTTTGAGGCTTGACCTACATAGCCAGATTGTGTCTCAAAAAATAAGTATAAAAAAAGAAGCAAGCAAGCAAGCCAGCTCTGAAGAATGATGAACGCCAATTTGAGGTTACCACTGCGGAAATGAAAATGTGAAGTGAGAGAAGCACAGGAGTTTTGAGCTTATGGCATTACTTTATTTCTTAAGCAAGGTGATGAGTCCAGGGGTGTCTATAATAATCTTTATACCTTTTGTCTGTCTTTAATATTTAGTAAATTAGATTCCTGTAGCTTTAGTAAACCATTAGTTGAGTAATCACAATGACATAGTGTCTTAATTACTTTCTTCTTGCTGGAACAAAATACCCACCAGCCATAAGCTAAAGGAGGAAAGGTTTATTTTAGCTCACAGTTGGTAGCGGGTTCAGTCCGTGGTCAGCTGTCTCCAGAGCAGGGCGGCACAGCGGAGGGGAAACAGTGCGTGGCGCGGCAGGCAGGAGGCAGTGTGACTTCCTTCTTTCCCTTTTTATTCCATCCAGGCTGCAAGTCTGTTGGTTGATGCCACCCACACCCAGATGGGGTTTCTCTCTCCCCATACCAAGAACTATGCTAAACAAATTGGTGGACTGTTCCTGTCTCATACACCCGTGATCCAGTGTTACACACCTAAGATCATAGTCACTCCCCAAAGCCCCACCTATAGTGCATAAGGCTTTGGTGGGACCTCGAAGTATAAGCCATCACATTTATTTATAAGGGAAGCTGCAAATTAGTACCTGAGGGCTGGGGTGTAGCTTAATGGTAGAGTGCTTTACTAGCATGTACAAGACCCTGAGGTCTTTCCCCAGCACCCTAAAAATAAAACAGAACCTAAAATCTGATAAGATCCTTCTGTTTATGGCCCTTGACAATTTTTTTAAAAAAAATGTATTTAGTATAGGGTCACTACACAGAGTGGACTTGTAGTGATCCTCCCAAGGATCAGCCTCCACGCACAGTCTCAGTCACCCTCTCCTGGTTTTGATGGCTGACATGGCGCGCTTGGGGTTCTGGGGCCAGTACGGCATGCAGTACCAGGGATTGAACTCCAGTCCTTGCACTTGTCAAGCAAGTGCTTAGACCACTGAGCTATCTCCCAAACCCTCAAATTTGTTATTGAATGCCTCTAAAAATTGTTGTTCCAGTTATTATATGTTTCAACTCCAGAAGTGCTATTTGCTTTTCTAATAATTTCTACCTACTCTGTTTGGCAAGACATTATTCTTATATGTTGCTTTTATTTCTTTAGACTTGCTTTTGTTTAGTATTTGGGATATTTGTAATACCTGATTTAAAACCACAGTTTACTAAATCCATTGTCTGGACTTCCTCAGAGACATTTTCATCCATAGGCCCTACTTTGCTGTTTCTTTCTTTCTTTTTTTTTTTTTTTTTGTTACCAGGGATCGAACTCAGGACCTTGAGTTTGCCAGGGGCACTTATGCCACTGAGCTATATCTCTGGCCCGTTTTTGCTGTTTGTTTGTATGACTTGTTATTTTTAATATTAGGAAATGTTAATTTATTTAAATAATGATGTTGGGGCTGGACAGATAGCTCAGCAGACTAAAGTGCCTGCTCTGGCAGAGCGCAGTGGCACACTGTGTCGGCCCTGCACTGGGGGCACACTGCCATGGCGATTGACACTGGGCATGGTGGTCTGCGCCTGTAATCCCAGTGCTTGGGAGGCTGAAAACAGGAGGATCACTCCAGGTCCGATCTACGTACTGAGACCTTGAACACCCTGTAGACCCTGTACCAAATACATTAAAAAAATAAAAATAATAATAAAAAAAATAATGATGTTGACAGGAGAGATAGCTTGGTGTTCTAAGCACCTGCCTGGCAAGTGCTAGGTCCCGGGTTTGATCCCTTGTACCGTATGCCATGCAGACCCTGTGTCTGCCACTGAAACCGGACTTGGTGGCACACACTGTAATCCCAGAGCTGGGGAGGCAGAGACAGGAGGATCACTGTGAGTCAGAACTGTGTAGGGAGACCCTGTATCAAAAATAAAATAAGGGCTGATGAGATAGCTCAGCTATCTAAAGCACCTGCTTAGGCAAGTGCAGGGACCGTGGTTTGATCCCCAGTACCACATGCCATGCCAGCCCTGCCCCCAGGGCAGGCTGAGCCAGCCACAAAAAATAAAATAATGATGTTACAACTCCAAAAATAAGATTCTTCTACCTCCACAGAATTTGCTGCTATTGCTGTTTGTTGTTGCTTTTGGTTGCTGCTGTTAAGTGACTTTACCGAACTCACTGCTCTGTGTTCTTTATGAGATGTGACCACTAGGGTCTGTTTGGTTGGCTAGAGAGTGGGTCAGGACTTCTCACTGGATGGAGCCGTGAAGTTGCCCAGTCTTTCTGAGGCAATCTGTATGTCAGGCACCCCTTCACCATCCCAGCAGTTCACAGCTCTGTCTTGATCTTCACTTCCTGCTGGTACAGAGCTTCCAGTTAGCCCCTCATGACCATAAGAGATCCAGGCATGTTCACAATGCTACATATAAACATGCATTCCAGACTCCAAGGAGTATATCAGAGCCCATCAAAGACCTTGAGGCTGTTCCATTGCTAAGTTTTTTTTTTTTTTTTTTTTTAAAGCTTTTTAGTCAGCTTCTCATTAGCCTGAACTGACAGTAAACTCCTCAGGCAGCTATAGTGTTAAAGTTACTAAATGCTGGTTGTTTTGAACAAATGATAGGACAGAGAATGGTCTGAGGTCAGATAAAGACAAGTCTTGGGATTGAATTTTCCACCCAGTTGTCAGGCAGGTCATGTAGTCACTTCTGTGGGTGTTGGGTGTTTGGGGAGTTCTAAAGCCATCTGGCCTTGCCAGCTTACTAGTTTTTATATCAGCCATGATTGTGAGGCTGTTGATTTTCAAGATGACCATAGCGTTAGAGAGGAGATGGAAGGGCAAAGGAAGAGCCCAGTTCTATCCCTTCTCTGCAAGCTCCTACCCAGCTGCCCAGGTGGGAGAGAAGCGCTACCACAAATTAAAACAACTCAGCAAGACCAAGGACAGTTCCTACTGAGATTCAGCCATATTTTTTTCTTAAATGTATGCCCCTTAGCAGCTGTCAAGCCTTTCAATAATTTTCAGAGCCCTGAAAAAGCTGATGGTGACCATTTCTGGCCGTACTGTGGAATTACAGAGGGAAGATCTTTTGGGGCCCTTCCTCTGCTGCCCTGCAGGTTAGCCCCCGCAGTGCTTCATCAGCTGCGGTGCTCTCAGGCTCTGGGTCTGCCTTGCATGAGCTTGCTCTCACTCTGCCTCATATCGCCTCTACTTACTTCTCTCTCTCTGAGGCTAGGAAGTGGTCCCGCCGGCATGTTACAGGTTAGCACAGGTGCCTGTAACTGCTGGTCTTACCCTCTGCTTGTTAGGAGGGAGTTTGGGCCTCAGCATAGGCCATATGTGTGGAGCCCCGATCCCACATCACTAGCACACACCGAGTACCAGATCATGTGCATCTGCTGCACTCTTTGCTTATCTTGTCAGCAGAATCCATCTTTTGCAGTCTGCCTAGAATTATACATTATCCTGTGATGAAGTAAATCCATGTTCCCTTAAAGTAGAGTTGGAGAACAAAATACTAATAGCTCAAACAGCCATTTCCTCTAGATACTGTTGGGATTTGAAATTTGGGCCAGATAAAGCATTAATTTCTTCTATCAGATCCTAATAGTTCTGGTGAACAGCTTGGGTTTTGTGTTAAATATCTTTTAAAATCTATATGTCTAGGAGTCCTGGCCCTAGCTCAGTTCTTTAAGTGGCTACTTCCACTAAGCTGTCAGCCTCAGGTGGCTCTAGTTCGATCCCCACAACTCTCCAGCCAGCCAAACAAGCCCTGAGGGCATTCGCAGCAAAAAAAAAAAAAAATCTATATGTCTAAAATCTTAAGTTCTCACATATTCATAAGTTAGAATTTTTTATGTAACCAGAAATTTGACTTAAGGGTATTTATTTAATTATAGCCATTTATTTTAGAGGCCATTCATCTCCCATTCTGTATAAAACAGGAATACCAGTGCCATTGGTAAATAGTAATGAGACTCTTCCAAAAAGCTGTGTATGGTGACATAGGTAGCTAATTACAGTGCTTACAAAGTTTGTTTTTTTGCTACATTTTATGTATTTGTGTACTTTTTTCTTCTCTCATTTGTTAGGTAATAATTAAATCAGGCAGTCTAAAATGTGATATTGGTGCTACAACAGTTTTGAAATCTTGAAAGATAAAACTGGAAAGATTTGCTTGTATTTTTTTCCACCTCGGAGTGTTTTGTTAATGAGACATTTTATACCGCCATACACCCGGGGCAATGATATAGGTGTTGATTGATTTTTGGATGGCAAGGGGCCTCTCTAATTGCAGAGTTTGACATTTGTGTCACTTCTGCTGTTCTAGGTGAGCAAGACGTGGAAGGTGATTGCTGAAGACGAGGTGCTGTGGTACAGACTGTGCCAGCAGGAAGGACACCTTCCAGAGAGCAGTATCTCAGATTATTCCTGCTGGAAGCTCATCTTCCAAGAGTGCCGAGCCAAGGAACACATGTTAAGAACCAACTGGAAGGTAGGTGGTGGCCAGTAAGTTACCTGTGGCAGACTAGCCCACAGGGACGTGGAGCCTAAGCCTTTCATTATTGCGGGGCTGGCTGACTGCTGGAAGCAAAGGAAGCAGGCTGCGCTGAGCATCCCCTCTGGCTGTCAGTGACTTGTTGCCTGTATTGTTCTCCTTTAGAACATCTATGCCTGTTGTGTCCATGAGGTTTGGAAGCCTCTACTGCTGTCCAGTAGAGGAAGGCTGAGCTTGAGCTGCCTGTAACCTGCCCTTTGCAAGTTAGTCATTGGAGTCACGTGCAGTGTAGCTTCCCTTCACTTTCATATCCTTCCCAGAGGGGCCAGGAAGGCAGAGCAGAAGCACCCGTGCACCAGAGGAGCTGCAGATGCCGTTGCAGTAGCTGTAAGAGGGAGGCCAGGGCGTGGCTCTGCCTCTTCTGCTCTTGTGCCACATAAAGCCATTGGCTTGCTGCCCTAGCATTTATCACTTCAAGTCTCTACAGAAATATTAGATCACAGCTAAGATTTTGCCCAGAGAAATGTTTCTGTAGGAGACGACTGTCAAGGAACATGTCACATAGAGTTGAGTGAGGCACGACAGGTGGTGGTGGGTGGTAGTGCTTCTCTCCCACCTGGGCAGCTGGGTAGGAGCTTGCAGAGAAGGAATAGAACTGGGCTCTTCCCTTGTCTGATAAGATCGATCCTAACAGACTTTGAGGTGAACAAGCTTTTGCTCATTACTGATAGTGACATACTGCCTGTGTGCATTTCTATCCCTAGTTACCTCATAACCTGATTAGTGACCAATAAGCTTGATCATGCAACCTTGTGCAATTCAGGCAACATCAGTGAAGGTAGAGTTTCTTTAATTCGGGATTGTGCTCAACCCCATTTTGAATGACAGTGGGCCAGCTTGTTGTTTGTGTGGAGGGACTCTCCTGTACATTACAGAATTCAGGCCACATCCCTGGCCTCTGGCTGCTAGACTTCAGTAGTATTCATTTGTTCCTGGTGAGGACAACTCTGAATGTCTCCAGATATTGCCAGATTGGGTGTGGGGAGCACATGCCCATGACTGTGATCCACTAAGGATAGTCAGCATAGCTTTTCTTGTTTAGGGTGTTCAAACACCACTGCTAAGTCAAGTCATGCTGGTCTCCCTGGTATCTGTTTACATCCACAGCTCTGGATAAAGTTGACAGGTTTGACAAAGTTGCTCAGAAAAACAGGGGCCTGGTGTGGGGCAGAAAGCCGAGAGGGTGCTAGTGAATAGGGCCAGAGTTTAAGGGAAGTGTGAGCATTGGGTTAACCCTGCTTTTCTGTCCAGAAAAGAGGGATACTTTCCCAATTTGTGAGCATGACAGCTGTAGACATTCATTATCCCCGGCTCAAATTTAGAGATGGTGGGTCCTGAAAGAAAGCCACAGTCAAGTTTTTGCTTCCTTTGGTGGTAGAGGAAGCCAGGAAAGCAAGCAGTGCATCGTCGTTTCGAAAGGGGGGGGGGCAGATGGTGAAAGACTCACCTCATAGTTTGTGGCACCTGATAACAGTTTATAAGGTCTGTGTAACTTAATGAAAGCTTAGTGGGTTTTTTTTGTTTTTTTTTTTTCCGTCACACAAAACCATGTGTACTCAGGTCACCCATCCAGTTCTGGTGAGAACTACAGGATGCTTTTGGAATTTCAGACCCAATTTCTGAGATTATTAACGAGTACTGCATGGGTGAAATTTTAGAATCTTGTTACATGTAGTAATGAGATTCTTACCATAATACTAGGAGGAAAGAATGCATTATTAAAATATTAAAGAATGAGAGAAAGTTGCTTAATCTTTGCATGCCTGCATCTTCTCACCTCTAGAGTGGGGTGAGAATGGCATTGCTGCTAGCTGTGGTGAGAGTGAGCATCGTGACACATCTACCTCCCACACTCTGCAGAGCCTGGTTTGTGCTCTGTGTTCAGGTAGGGATGGCTCTGGGCACTCAAGCCTTTGTATACAGACACAGTGGTTCTATCCTGTCGTTGGTCAGCTTCAGGAAGGCGGTTTGGATTGCTAACTCCTAGGTCAGTGTCTGGAAAAACCTCAGAGGGGACACCATAATTCTCATTTTCCTCTATTTAGGAGAAGACTTATGAATGCATGAACTTGCCTGATCCTGAAGTTCAGAGTGGACCTGGAAATGGCTTGATAAAGTGGATTTGGGAGCGACAGTGCTCCTTTGCCAGGTGTTTGTGTTTACTTTTTTCACCCTGGCATGCTAGGCTATCTCTACAGCTACAGTCCCATTGTGGAGTTGAAGCCCAAGATGGGGAGAGGAGCCATAGGATGGAAATCAGCAAGTGCTGGAAGCGCACAGGTTTTGTTTTAGGCTTTCCTTTTCTTTCAATAGCCTTGTCCTCTGAGATGCCCTTCCATTGTACATGTGTCCGGCCTGTGTTTCCCTTCACTCCCCATAGTCCCACCAGCTGGACAGCTCCACCTGAGCACATCCATTTTGTTCCTTAGCTTTTGCCTTGGCCCTTGTATTAAGTTCGGACCATTCTGCAAATTATCTTGCCCAATTTCTGGATTACCGCTGCTTAGTAAGTGTTGATTTTAATGGAATGGATGTCGTATTTACCCCCAATAATGTAATACTAGTAGCTGCCACTTACTGAAACTTGCTGTGGGCTAAAAGCTCTGCCTGGCACTTATGTAGACTATCTATAATCCTTATGCCAGACCAGAAAACTGAAATTAAGATCATTTAACTGCTCTTGAATGTTGTACATTTATGATTACTTTTGGTTTAACTATCGTAACTTTTCCCAGCCTTCCACATGTAAATACTTTATATCTCTTCAAATTCTCTTCACTGTATTTTTATTTTATCTTTTATTTTTTTGTGGCCAGCTCGCTTGCCCTGGGGGCAGAGCTAGCGCTGCATGTGTTGCTGGGGATCAAATCATGATCCCTGTGCTTGCCTAAGCAAGTGCTTTTAAGACCGCTGAGCAATCTTGTCAGCCCAATATTTTTATTTTAAAAATAATTGTATCTATTTTCTGATCCAATAATCACTGATCATAGTAAAATAATTAAAAGTCATGTGAAGGTACATAGTAGAAAATACTCTCTCTCTCTCTCCTTCCACCACCTACTTCTCCTAGGAGTAGCCTGAGTTTAGGTTTTAAGGTTTTCTTGTGAATGAGGTGGGTTTTTTTTTTTTTTTAAATCATTTATTTATTTGGTACAGGGTCTCACTATCTAGCTTGTACTTGTAGTGATCCTCCTGTCTCAGCCTCCCCAGTGCTGGGATTATAGGTGTGCACCACCACGCCTGGGGATCCAGGGCCCACACGACCTGTGGTGCCCGGGATCAAACCTGGGTCCTTGCACTTGTCAGGCAAGTGCTTAAACCACCAAGCTATATCTCTAGCCTGGTTTTTTTAAAAAAAATAATTAATTAATTTATTTTTGACAACTCATACAGAATTTTACTTAACAAAGTAATATGAATTTCACAGTAT